ACTCCTGGGCTCAAGCGAGTCTCCTGCCTCCACCTCCCAAGTAGCTGGGACCACAGGCGCCTGCCACAACGCCCAGCTATTTTTTGGTTGCAGCCATTATTGTTGTTTGGCGGGTCCGGGCTGGATTCGAACCCACCACCTTAGATGTATGTGGCTGGCGCCTTAGCCACTTGAGCCACAGGCACCGAGCCACATCAATGTATCTTAAACAGCTTGAACAGCTCCCAGCAATGTTATTTGGTGTTATTTATTAAGTAAGGGCTCAAGTGTTATTAAGATATGTAGATCTAAAATGCCCTCTGTAGCATAAAGATTATTTTAAGCTTACAACTCTTGAACAAATAGCAGCTCTGTGGGGAAAAAAAGCTTTAAACTTATTTTGCTGACCTAACCAGGGCCCACTGAAAAATAACAACCACCAAAATCCCTTCTCTGGGAGGTTTAGAGCCAGAAAGGAGAGAAACCACTATCACTAAAATAACTAATCCCCTAATAAACTATTATATATACCTTCCCTTTGTTCTTCCATAGAACCCCTTCCTCTCTCTCCCTTTCCTCTTATTAAGTGGGTATCTTTGGCTGTTTTAGAAGCCAACTTATCTGTAGTTCTAAAACTTTGTAAACTTTGTCTTTTCTCCTGTTAACCTTGTCTATTATCAGCTAAATTCACAGGCCTCCAACTACTGACCCTAAGTTGATAGAGGAAAAGTTCTTCCTCCCAACAATATGAATATATTTGAAAGTGACAAGGTCTCTTCTCATTGGCCTTTTGATTCAGGGTCTCTCTATGTTGCCCAGGTTGTCCTTGAATTCCTGGGTTCAAACAAGCCTCCTGCCTCAGAACTTCCAGGTAGCTGGGACTGTAGGAATGCACCATCATGCCCAGCTGAATCTCTCATATGTCACCTCTAGGCATTATGATTGGGGGTAATAGAGGACTTCCAACTTTTACTTCCTATAACTGAATTACTGAGAAACACTGATTTATTTTTTAAGAAGATTTTAAGAACAAACTGAGAAAGCTTGGTTAAGCCTTGGATTCTCTATCTGTCCTCTGTCATCCCCCTGCAGGCATCTTGGCCATCCTCATCCCCCGCCTGGACCTGGTCCTATCCCTGGTGGGCTCCGTGAGTAGCAGTGCCCTGGCCCTCATCATCCCACCCCTCCTGGAGATCACCACCTACTACTCAGAGGGCATAAGCCTCCTCACCATCACCAAGGATGCCCTGATCAGCATCCTGGGCTTTGTGGGATTTGTGGCAGGGACCTACCAGGCTCTCCATGAGCTGCTTGAGCCAGGAGACTCTCTCCCCTTTTCCAACTCCACCACTTTTATTCAGTGAGCATGACACCGCTTCTTGACCACCAACACCTGACTTTTAACAATACGGATGTCTTTCACTTGCATTATCTTTATAATGCATCTTTACTTTGCCTTTTCTCTGGGCCAACTCATGGTGAAACAAGGAAGGACTCACCAGCTACAAAGTCTAATTGGTAATTTTAAAATATATATACTTTTTGTTTTATTCCTCTTCCTTTCCATCTCTAGATTTCCACTCAATTGAGAACTCTCCCTGGGAAGCGAGGGAGTCTCTCTCCAACCTTTTGGTAATTTACATGGCAAATTTCACATCTAGAGTGGAGCTATGCAAGAAGCTGCCATCAGGGGGACCTAGGCAGCTTCCCGTGAGGCAGCTAAAGCAGACTGGGCTTTGGCAGACAAACTAACTGTTCTCCTTTTCTGGATCTGTTCAAAAAGCAAACACTAGGAGTGGAGACATAATCCTCAAGCCAGCAAGGTGTGCATGGCTCCAGTGTGGAGATGGATAAGGCCAAAGAGTCAAATGTGAGTTGCAACTCTCCAACAGAAAAGAGACATCCATATTTAAGTCAAGGGCAATAAACTCTCCAAACCACTGCATCAAGTGTTGGCCCAGCCCAAAGATCCCAACAATGAATAGGAGACATGGAAGTAATGTGCTAGTTGGGGATAGAAGGAAGACTGGACATTAAAATTATTTGAATAGACTTTACCTCTTAATTCTTAAAAGAAAAAAATTCTTGATTGCCTAACAGATAGCAAATATAGTGCAAGGTTCTTATAGAAGATGGCAAAAAAGGCCATAAATTCCTCTGATAATTGTGGCTCCTCCTATCCAGAGATGAAGTCTATAAATGTATCTCTACCCCTTAAATCTCATCTTTACCTTGTAATTTGCTTTGACCAAGGGGACATTAGTAATGTGATGCATGTAGAGGTTTAGTGATCATTTGTGCATCAAAACTTGCATCTCTTGCTGCTCTGTGGAGCTGAGACTACCAAGTAAAGAAGACTGGGCTAGCCTATTGAAGGATGAGCAACCATGTGGAGCATAAATGAATCATCTCAGTTGAGCCCAGTCCCTCAGATCAACCAGCTTGCCAACTTCCAGATACATGAGTGAAGCCATCCTAGACTATATCCAACCCGTCATCGAAGCTGACCCAGACCATGGAATTGTACGGATGATCCACAGAACTGTGAGAAATAATAAATGTTTGTGATTTTAATCCACAAGGTGTGGGGGGTTTTATGCAGCAAAAGCTAATGGATACATCACTCTAACGGGGGCACACTGATGAATGAGAAAGGAATCCCTACTCTTAAGCAGCCAGTCTACTGTACACTGGGGAAGATACAGGCAGTCAGCTGTGTCTATCATCATGTAAATATCATTGTAGGTCCTTGTAAGGGCAAGAGACAGCAACTGCTCTGGAGTACCAATAAAAACTTTCTGTAAGTGATCTCACTGGAGCTGGCCTATCAGTAGAGCTTCTGTGTCCCAACACTGAGTCTGTCCCTCCTTCCACTCTCCCTGCTGCCTGGACATTCGAGAGCCTGTTCTTCTGCCTGGTCTTTGTTGGCAGCCAGTGGCCAGTCAACCTGAGACATCATCTCAGCCTTTCTGGTGGTGCTGCCTGCTCCCTCCCTGCACCCCTCTTCCCCATTACTAAGACTGGGAGAATGCGCCTGGGTAACCAAATAGATGTTGCAGATCTATAGTCCCAGGAGGTGGGGGAGGGAGAGTTTCTCATCATACTCTGTGGTTTGGGGGACAATTCATGCTTACTTTAGCCTCACTGTTGAAAGAACATTTGAAAAAGCTCTTTCCTACTTATTGTCATCCATCAACTTCCCTGTGCAGCAAAAAGGGAAATGCAAAAGAGAGGGGAGGAAGGGGTTTTGCCCCAGTTCCCGAGTCCTGGCCTGCTCTTTTTGTGTCTTACTGTAAATCTGCTGGACTTCCAGACGGTATCTCATAAGCACAAGTCCCACGGGGATGGGACAAAGCTTGGCCTCCCATACCCAGATCCCGTAGTCTACAGAGTCCCTGTTGGGAGATGAGATACTCACAACCTGGGCAGGGGTCCACAGCCCACTTTATCAGAAAGTGGGTCATCATCTCCTCCCTGTGCTCTCTGTTGCATCGGCAGACCCAAAGGACTTCCACAGATTTGTTCAGAGCTTTGGCAACACAGTTTCCCACCCTGCTCCACCACCATCATCCATCCTTGCTAAGCTTAAGGTTGTCTTCTCTGTTATTAAAAAATAAAAATTCACACTCATTCTGCAAAGATAAACCCCTACTGTGTAAGATGATTAGGTTAATATTAACATTGAGACCCATCTGGCTAAAGTTAACTCTTGGAAAGAAGAAATTAATTTAGCAACACTGATGTAACCAATAAAGCGAGCTAGGTTCTTCCTGAAGACAAGTCAGGAAACAAACAATACAAAAAGCAAGCCAGGGAGACAGAGTGGTAATTGTCAGCAACACTAAAGAGTATTAAATGTTAGCATTGTGTTTAAGTGGTAGTGATATTAACATTTTTTAAGTTGTTTGGTAGTGGTTTCTTTATCCACATATACATGTCCCTGAGTTCAAGTGATCCTCCCACCTCAGCCTCTCAAAGTGCTAGGATTATACACGTGAGCCACTGTACCCAACCATGATTTATCAACTTAATCTCAATAATCTCTGGGAGAGAAGGGGAACTTGATAGATTCTTAAGGCATCTAGAAGAATTAATGTAGGTGGGGAGGGGAATTCTGAAAAAGCCACGTAAGGAGAATGGACTGTCCCTCTCAGATATTAACTACATTCCATAGCTATAGTAATTCAAACAATTTGGTACTAACGTTAAAAAAAGACCAATCAATGGGAGGAAAGTACAGACGCAGACCCAAGAATGCAGAGGAATTGTATTATATGATGAAGAAAACTGTAGTGAACTCTTATAGTTGTTTTCCTGCCTCATCATCCATTTTGAAAGTAAGTCGCACTGTCGCATACCAGAAGCAGCGCTTAGTCACCTTGGCACAGTTTCCAGTTTTCCACCATCCAGTTCCTCAAAGAGATCAATCCAGATATCTGCCCTAAACCACCACCTCTTGGGGTGGCTACCTCCCTATGGGACAGCTGGATAGTAAGTTTACTAGTCTCACTCCTCTGACCCCCACACCCCACATGAACTGCACAGATATGCTGCAGTGACCTCCTGGAAGTCATGCCTGCTTGCTTTACCCCAGTTTGAGCTCCTCTCAGGAAACCTGCTTGGGTGGGTAACATGCTGGACCACTGTAAAGGCTGTAGTCCCACAGGCTTCCCATCTTGCTCCCCACCAACTGGTTAAGCACGCATGTCTCAGATGTCTCCCTACCTCCCAGTAGCCCTGTAAGTGTGCTGCCCTGTGCTCTCTGGGACCTGTAAGTAATAAACACACTTCTGTTATTTCGCGGGCTTTGTGGTGAGGCCTCCTCTTTGTCTTACCTGACAGACACACTCCAGCCTAACTCTCCTCCCAGCCAAGGCTCTCCTAGAGAGTTTCCGCCTTGCTGTGTGCCCATTCTCAAGTGGGAGATCTCAAGACCAAATTAGAAAAACCTCATGACGAGGATATTTCAAATAAAATAAGAAAATGATAGCTTATTCAATAAATGGTGCTGAGAAAATGAGTTAGGCGTTTGGAGAGTAAGTTAACAACAACAACGATACTTACTGGAAGCTCACCAGATGCTGAGCACTATTCTAAATGCTGTACACATGCTAACTTAGTTAACCTTCCTAACGTCCTCTGGCATTGGTATTACTATTACATGCAGGTGAGGAAAATAAGACACCCAAAGGCGAAGTGATTTGGCTAAATCACACAGGTCGTAAGTGGAAGAGCTAGGATTTCATTAAGAATAGAATGTAAATACTATAAGAGACAAAGATGTCAATAGCCATTTAAAAACAAGATGTATCTTAAGAAAATATTTTGTGATCTTGAGGTAATAAAGGTCTTTTGAAATGAAGTTAAAAACCAAAGTGGAAAAGATTGAGAAATCTAACTCTTCAATATATTTAACATTTTGCATTATTTTTAAAAAAGCATAGACAAAAACAACTGATGATTTCTAACTAGGAATATCTAGTTAGAATATCATGGAATATCTAGTCACTCACTGCAACCTCAAACTTGCTGCCTACATGAAGGCACGAGATAAATATCCAGATGCAAACACATACACATTGATCCACTCCTTAATCTCCCTTTCTTTAAAAATAATTCAGTGTTAAAATAGAAAAAAAAACAGCGGTCAATGTACAAGAAAACAACTAGAAATGCCCCAAGTATATAAGGTGTTTATTCTCAGTACTAACCAAAGAATTCAATGTCAAAGCAACACTGAGTCATTTGTACTTATCACATTGCTAAACGTTTTAAAGATTAATAAAAATTGTCATTAGCAAAGTGTGAAGAACTTGACTTTTTTTTTTTTGGTGGTTGTGTATTTGATACAACTTTTCTGCAGGGTAATATGAATCAAAATTGAAAATAAGAATACTATTTTACCCCACAATTCCAAGATTTCAACCAAAGGTAATAACCAGATACATGCTCAAAAACATACTTATAAGCCTGCTTCAGACTTTCATTAAACAAAATAAGGCACAAGAAAAGACTACGCAGGGAAGCATCTAGAACTCTCAAAAATTGCTGGTGGGAATCCAAAGTAGTACAGCCACTTTGGAAAACAGTTTAGTTGATTGTTATAAACTTAAAAACGAACTGACCATATGACCAAGGGATCCCATTCCTAAATCATTACCACATAAATAAAAACATTTGGGCCAGGTACAGGGCCTCACATCTGTAATCCTAGCACTCTGGGAGGCCAAGGTGGGTGAATTGCTTGAGATCACAGGTTCAAGATCAGCCTGAGCAAACGTGAGACTTCATCTCTAAAAATAGCTGGGCACTGTGGCAGGTGCCTGTAGTCCCAGCGACTCAGGAGGCCGAGGCAAGAGAATTGCTTGAGCTCAGGAGTCTGAGGTTGCTGTGAGCTAAGATGCCGCAGCACTCTACCAAGGGTGACAAAGTGAGACTCTGTCTCAAAAAAAAAAAAAAAAGTTGGACCACACGGTCCATGCATGAAATGTCTATGGCAGTTTTATTCATAATCACCCCAAACTGCAAATAACCCAAATGTCCATGTACTAGCAAATGAACAAGCAGACTGTGGCCCATCATACAATGGAATGCTACTCAGCTATAAAAAGAAGTAAAGTACCGGTACACTCAGTAGCACTGGCAAATCCCAAAAGCATCGTACTGGGGAAGGAAGCCAGACATTAAAGTTTACATATTATATGATAACATTCTGGAAAAGGTCAAACTACGGCAATGGAACACATCCATCACTGGTTGTCAGGGGCTGGCTGTTGTGAGAGAAGATCAGCCACAAGAGGTGCGAGAGAACTTCTTGGAGTTAAGGAAATGCTGTATAGATTGTGATGTCGGTCACGCGACTGCACGCATTTGTTAAAAGGGGTCGGTTTTCTGAGTGCAAATTATACCTCAATAAACCCAACTTTATAATAAAATACTCTTCAACCATGAAAATTTATTTTTTCTTCTAGTAAAGTGGAAGTATGCACAGAATAGATAGGGTGGGAAAGTTATCCTACCACTTCAAAGAGGAGACATTTGTCCACCCACATTCATAATGGCCTTATTCACAATAGCCAAAAGGTAAAAATAACCTGGAATGTTCATTGACTGAGGAATGGACAAAGCCAAGGTGGTATAGACATACAGTGGGATATTACTCATACAATGGGATTTATTCCTGAAAAGGAAAGAAATTCTGACACATGCTACCACATGGCTGCACCTTACGGAAAATATGCTGAGTGAAAGAAGCCAGTTACAAAAGGTGCAATGCCTTCCGATTCTCTTTAGGAGAGTCACCTGGAATAGTGTGAGTCATAGAGACGGAAGGCACAGTGGTGGTTCTCAGGGGCAAGAGGAGAGGAGAAAAGGGAGTGGTTGATTAATAGGTACAGAGTTTCGGTTTTACACGGTGAAGAGAGTTCTGGAAGTTAGTTGTGCATCACTGTGGATGTACTTACCCTGTAAACTGCACACTCAAAAATGGGCAAGATGTGTATTATTATGTGTATTTTACCACAATTTTTTTCCAAAGCTGTTTTCTCACATGTTGGCAGCAGCAGGGGTGGGACACGGCCAGTGCTCAGGTGCGCACGAGCAAGGCTGCTCGCTCTGGGTGATGGTGATTTTCATGTTCTTCACCTTGGAGCTTAGAGTTTTGCTTTACTTTGTTCTAAAATGAGCATAGCATTTATTACGTCCATCACTGGCTTATTTGTGCGCTTGTTTGCTGTCTGTCTCCCTGCTGAAGTGCAGACTCCTTGAAAATAGGCCCCCGGTGGTCTTGTTCAAAGCTGCGTCTGCAGTTTCTAGAGAGTCGGCATTCACTCAGGGGAGTATTAAGGCAATGAGAAAATGAATAAACACGTGGGAGAGGGGAAATTGTTTTCAACATGAGAAAAGGTCTCTAGGTCATGAGTGCAGAGAGAAATTTCATTTGCTATTCAGAGGAAGAGAAAGGGTCGTCAGTATGGATTTATGGCAGCACCTAAGAGTTGACAGGAGCACTTCGGTCTCACCTTAATCTTCACAAGCAACCCACACAGTCTTTGCAAATGAGCACACAATCCAAGTTCAGAGATGGCGCTGGCTCTGCAAAAGCAGCTTCAGAGCAAAACTTTGTCGATAGCTCTTCCATCTTCCCTGTTACTCAGGCCAAGCATGCTGGAATCATCCTTAGCTCCTCTTTCTGTACACCCATTTCAAGTCCATCAGCACAGCCTCCCAGCTTTACCTTTGAAAAATCCAGAATCCACTCACTTCTCAGCAGCTCTTTTACTACCACCCCTAGATTAAGCCACTGCTGACTGCCACCTGGGACGCTGTAAGAGCCTTTGAGATGACTGTGATAGCTCCCTAATCCTAATTGATATCCTCATCCTACTTCAATCTGCTCCTAGAAAAATGGCCAGAGAGATTCTGTTAGAATGTTAAGCCAGGTCACTTCTCCACTCAGCACCCCCCATGAATTCTCATCTCTTTGAAAGTAAAATCCAAAGGCCATTACAACAGCCTACGAGATCCGGCGATCCTCTCCACTTTCTCCCGTTACCTCCCTAACCACATCTCTGGTGTGACCACAGATTAGATTATCCAGTAAGAAATGTCCTAAGTATGTAAATACTCAGTTCTAAGTTTCACAGTTGATATCTCTGACATTGCCTTTGACCCTTCTTGGGTGAGTGTGTGTGTGTGTGTGTGTGTGTGAAGGTACATCCTCCTTTCAAACACACATTTTGGCTTGTGATTATCTTTCAAAATTCAAAAAAAAATTTAGGGCAATTTTTGTGAAACTATATTTAAGTAAAAAATTCATGCTATTTTTGAATATGAGTTCCATTGTGAAACCAGTGCCGCACAGACAGCTTGAAATACGACAAAATGTCTGGAAAGGATGAGGCTAATGAATACACAGCACACTGAAGGTTTGAGAAGTTCTATTCTGGTGATTTTAATCTTGAAAACGAGTTAACATAGACAACCTGAGACCAAGGTGATGAGCTCAAAGTTGTAGTGGGAAAGAATCCATCTCATCCTAGGCGTGAATTAGCAGCAAGGTTTGACGGTACTATTCCAACAGTATTGGACCATTTGAAGCAAATCAGCAAGGTGAAGAAGCTGGATAGAATTCAACCAGCGTCAGAAGAGAAATTATCTCAAAGCTTGCCTTCCATTGCTGTCATGATATAAAGGTGAACAATTTCTACACAATATTGGTATATGTGATTAAAAAATGGATTCTTTTTGACAATTACAAGCATTGATCACACTGCTTGGATAAAGACGAAGGGCCGAAACACAGACCAAAACTGAATAGTCATCAACAAAGCTAAGGGTGCCTGCTTCGTGGCCCAGCCCTGGCTTTATCCACTACAGCTTCACGAAACCTCATCAATCAATTAATGACGGCAGATGTCTCCTGAAACCAATTGCACAACACGATGAGGATGCTTGCAATTAAGCAGCTGAAACTGGTCCACAGAAACAGGCAAATATCTTACAACACAAAGCTGTCGGACAAATAATGCTGCTCAGACAGAACTACAGAAGCTGGTCTTGGAAACTCTGTCATCCTCTGTCGTCACCAGCCTTGCACCAGACTACCGCTGCTTCCAGGCTTCAGACCACTTCTTGGAAGGAAAAGGACTCAATTCTCAACAAGTTGTGGAAAACACCTTTTTTGCTTTCAATGCCATGCCCTGTCTAAGCGTCTTTGCTGCTGGCATACATGGGCTACCATTAACTGGAAAACTGTGTTGATAGTTCAGGCACATACATTGATTGATTGTACTGCTTCTCGTTTTAGATATAATAAACTAAACTTTTGATTTGAAGCCAAACATTTAATATTTAATGACCTAAAAATTTATCACCCACACCAGGATACTATTTCATTTCATTTTATTTTATTTTATTTTATTTTTTAGAAAAAGGTTCTTCCTATGTTTGCCAGTTGGACTTGAGCTTCTGGGCTCAAACAATCCTCCAGTTTGAGCCTCCTGAGTAGCTAGTACTATAAGCACTCACCACTATGTCCAATTTCAGGATACTTTTAATAACAAAAGGAAACACTACTAATAATCACATCAGGGCAATGGGCACAAACCCTGAAAATCCTGGACAAACCAGACACATCTACTCCACGTTTCCCCTTGTCTCTCCTCTCCTTTGTGCTCTCTGAGCCAGACACGTCGCGTCCTCATTACAACTCCTAAAATCCCCCAGGCATTCTCCTGCCTCAGGACCTTTGCACTTACCATCCTTCTGCTTGAAGTTTCTTGCCCACCATGCACATGGGACATACTTCCGCACCTTGTCTGTCCACGTTCTCAATGAGGCCCTCTCTGACCACCTGATTTAAAATTACAACCCTCCTCCTAGCTGGCACACCCTATTCCCCCTTCCTACCTTGTCCTCTACAGCACTTACTATCAAATAACAGATGCTTGATATGTTTGCTTTGTTTATGGTCTATCTCTCCCAGCCCCACCAGGTTGTAAATTCCATGAAAACAGAGATTGTAGCCAGGATGGGGTGGCTGGAATCCTAGCACTCCAGGAGGCTGAGGAGGGAGGATTGCCTGAGCTCAGGAGTTCAAGACCCACCCAAACAAGAGTGAGACCCCAGTCTCTAATAAACATAGGCTGAAGCAGGAAGATTGCTTGAACCCAAGAGTTTGAAGTTGCTGTGAGCTGGGCTGACACCACAGCTCTCTAACCTAGGCAACAGAGTGAGAATCTATCTCAAAGAAAGTAAGTAAAGACTGCAGTAGGTCTTCTATTGTAATGCAGTCCCAGCATGGAGAATAGTTCCTACCATATATTAGGTGCTCCTTAAGCGTCTGTTGAGCAAAAGATTCTTTTGAAGTTTACTCATATTCCCAAGTAGCTGGCTGCTCACATACCCCTCCTGTACAGAATTCTGGCTGTAGGACTGTTTGAGCCCAGAAGCTCAAGTCCAACTGGCATTTGGAGTAGGCCCTACAAACCATCTCCCCCCCCCCAACCCAGGGAGAGCAGGAGCTGGAAAACACTCCACTGGGCCACACCTGCATCCTGGGGTTCTGCAGCAGCTTATTGGCCAGGCAGCCTCCATTGTGAGGTAGCTCTGGTCTCTTTCTGGCCAGAGACAGCCAAGCAATGGGCCTGGAGCACATCCAGGCACCTGGGCCTCCAGTCCAATGGTGCCTTCTTCCTCCCAGTCACACGGTTCACTCTGCCCTACAGCAGCGAGGGCTACACTGGGAGAGGCCAAAAGCCCAGGTGAGTCCTGGCGGGTGACGAAGCCATTGAGAAGGGGACTGAGAATCATTCCGACATGGGACTCTCATAAGGCCCCCACGAGCCAGGTGAGGCATCACCAACACCAGCTTCTCAAGCCACCTCTGCTTCACTGACTCGGGCCTCAGCCAGTGCCAGACACCCTAGGGAATTAGGAGGCAGCAGCTCAGGTCTGCAGCCATGGTTCCTCTGAAGAAAAACCCATCAGAGGCACATTCAAGGCCTTGACCCTGAGCCTGTGCCACCTAGCACCCTGTTGAAGATGTCACTGCTTGGAAGGGACTCCAGCAGTGAGCTGAACTCCTTGGATGACAAGTCCAACTCTCCCTCGGGGAGCAACAGCAGCACTGCTCCAGAGAACGGCCACCCCGCTGGGGACGTGGGGCTATCGTAAGTGGCCGCGCCGCCTCCAGACAGTAGGTCAAGCCTCGCTGCTTTTGCAGCTCTGCTCTCCATCCTCCTCTTGTCTCTCCTTAAATCTCTTATCCCATTGAATAGGAGACACGTAGATAAAAGACGAAACCTTCAGAATCTAAGAAGGTCAACCCCTGCAGCTCTGGGGGTTTTGCAAAGTACCCCGACTAGAGAGGTCAACTCCAGCATGAGCTGTGGGACTCCCAGGGACAGTTTCCTAACTCAGGCTGGCTTCCTCTCCTCACACATCTGCCGTGCTTCTCTTTCTCCCTCTTCTCTCTTTCCTCTCCCCAGATCCATTCAGAAAACAAAAGGTTACCTGCTCACCCCATGTCTCTACCTTCACCACCCCAAACTCAAAACACATGGAACTTTTCCCTGGGACTTTACTGTCAATCAGACTGTTATCTAATCAGACCAGATAACAGCGTAATGAGATTGTAAACAGCAATCCCCAGTGTTGCTAGGGATACCAGAAAATGTCTTCTCTCATGTCCTTTTGGGAAGAATTAAATTGGTGTCTTTCTAGATGACAGCGTTGCATGTCAAATCCTCAAATTCCATTTGTATAAAATGTACAAATACTTATTTGGCAAATGCTGTCTCTGAAATTATATACGCACACACACACACACACATAAGTGACGACACTGGCTACCCCTGGGAAAGAGAATTGGGAAACAGAGATAGGAGAGAGATTTGTATTTATTTCATAAGGTGTTTTGGTCATTTCGTTTTGTTTTACCCTTTGAATTTTGTACTGTGATTATTATTATCCAGTTTTTTTGAGTATAAATATGAATCAATATATCCTTCGATCGACATTATCACGTCTAGGAATTTTTCCAAATGAAATACTAGCACAAATAGGAGTGGTCATTTTTACTGAAGCACTAGTTATAATATTGAAAATTTAGAAACATTAGGAGAACGGTTCAAGTATGGTCCAAAAATAGGAGAGAATGCAATATAACCATTATGAGTGGTGGAGAAAATCTGCAGACATGGAAAAAGCATAGCACATAATATTCATACAAAAAAAAATAATTTAGGGTGTTGCACGAATATCAGTTTTCCTTGCGTGAAATTCTGTGCATTGATTTAGAAATAAATAGGGATGCTCAGAGGAATAGTAATCATGGTCTGTGGTTATTTCCAATTGGTGGGATTTGGGAATTTCCTTTTATAATCTCAATGTATTGTTTTCCAAGGAAAATATATAAAGCTGTTTTTTTAAAAAAGGTCAGAGGACCTCCCCCTGTTTCTGCTCCAAGTTCTCCAAAGCCTTGTCTAGCCTCTCCCTTTCCCATTGAATCTTTCTGATTCAAGTTGGACAAGGTGCTGTCATAGGGAAGAGGTGAGCGATGAAGGGAAGGCAGGCAGGAAGCAGGGGGAGAGAGCATGTGTTTTGAAGAAATTACTACTAAAGAACTGGTAATAAGGAAAAAACAGGTTTTTCTGCTTTGATACATTTTTTAGTAATTACAGTTGTCAAGAAATAAAATTTCATGTCTTGGAAGTAAAGGGACAAAAGATGCTCCCTCTCTTAGGTGAACAGACTGGCCTAACTGATGCAGTCACAGAGGTCCCTAATGGCCGCTCCTGAGGTCAGTATTAAAATGCAAAATCCTGGCACAGCCTCCTCCTTGAAACACCTGGCCAGGACTGCCTAAGGGAGAAGACATAGACACAGCACTGTCTCTGCTGGACTCACTGTGTGACCTTGAGCTCTTGGTTTCAGTTCTCCTGGCCACCTCCAGACAGTGTCAGGGTGGCAGAAGGGTTCTCTGTCTTGGCCTGAGACTCAGACTGCACCTGCCATGGCCTCCTCAAGGCAACCTTTTGTTCTAGGTAGGGGGGGCACCTCTACCTGCTTAAACCAGCTGTTGCTTGCCTTTGCTGTCATCCCAACTCTGCTTCATCTTCAGGGAGGCTTTTTCCAACAGGTGAGCACCATGAAGGCCACATGGCATCCGTGATGAGGATGATGACACTCACAGCTGTGAAGTGCTTCATGATTCCGAGACTCTCCATGTCATTTCCTCTTTTGACTCTTACAGCGTCCCTGGGACATAGGCAGGACTAGAATTATTCTCCTTTTTTGGCAGGTGAGAAAACAGGATCTAAGCAGCCTTTGAGGGGATTCCCAAAATAGTAACCAAACACAGTAGACTCATGGCAGAGCTGGAACTCAGACTCCAGTGCTCTTGTACTCACTTTTCACTTAAGTTCCTTTTTGACTCTATTCTCGTGGTCCAGTTCCCACTGCCCACCCCAGTCCCCATCGGGACCGTAGCAACCTGGGCAGGAGCCACCAGCACAGGTGTGAGGACCCCTGGTACCCAGCGGTAAGTACTCTGTGTGCACATTAGCAATCACTATTAAATTAATGCATCTTATACCATGCATAGCATGGAGATATAACAATTTATGAATATTGGTAAATATTCCTATATGTGGTAGAAGAGTATTATGATTTTTCTAGTGAGTTAATAAATGATCTGATGCCAATGAATACCCTGTAAATTGAGGCAATTATTACTTATTTTTGTCATTGTCACCTGAATGGTAGACATGTAGTAAGTCTCAATAAATATTGAGTGAATATATCATTAAAGAAATCATTGGCTCAATTAACAAACCAACCAATAGGTACTAAGGTGTTATCCAGAATGGTAGCAATTTTTATGAACTGTTTCTTTAGAGCCTCGTGTGTATTAAATATTTGACTCACCTAAACTCACACCAGCCCTGGATGTTCCAGGACATGGAATTGAGAGCTGCCCCTGAGTCCACTTCTCCAGTCTTGTCCCTCTTCCCCACAGGTGCCACTGGAGATGCTGGAAGCCAGCTGAGCTCTGGGCCACCCTTCCTTCCAACTAACAGTGCCCTCTTGTCTCCTCATCCCCACTGCAGGAGGATGCAAACCTTGATCCACCTGATGAAATGCAACATTGGCACAGGGCTCCTGGGGCTTCCCCTGGCCATAAAAAATGCTGGCTTATTGGTAAGAGGCGTCTGTGGGATGGGAAATAGGCTTTTGTACTTGGGGGAGAGGGTGATGGATCCCAAAGGCCTTTGCACTATTTATCGATGTGTAATTTGGAGGCATCCTTTGCAATAAGAAATGTGCCTGTCGGCATCAAACCACTGGAGCCAACCTAAAACCAAACAGTCTCCTTGGAGGGGCTAGGCCACTGCTCTTAAAGGCCCAGCAACTCATAGATTCCACTTTTCCACAGTCCTCCCTCTCCTGTTTCAAAATGTTTGATGGCAAGTGAGAAAGTGGCTTGGATGTGAGGATAGATGCCCCTATCAATCCTACACTCCCCCTTCACCAACCTGTCCCATCTATTTCCCATGCTGATCTCATCTCCCTGGTTTTTGTCTTATGAAATGTGCTCCTCTCTAAAACTGAACTCTTTCCTAAGAACATTGATGCTGCCATATCTTGTGTTTTTCTGAAACTCATACCCACTTCACTTGGAATTCCTAAAACATTTACAAACACAAGACAGACCTCATTTTTATAAGAGACCTAGCATCCTCACTTAATTGAAAGCTCTGTGGGCAAGAACTGTCTGCTTCACTTCATACCTCCCCACTCTAGCTGCTGTAGAGACAGCACATAGCAAGATTCACCTATGGTCTGTTGAATTGAGTTGACATCAAATATCTATTTTTCATTGAGTTGCAGTGAATTTTTCTTTCTCTCCTGGTCTGGTAATCTCTTTCCTCTTTGGAATCTTCTAGGTTCTAGAACTTCTGCAGAAGACATGGCCTTCTACCAAAACTCTCTTTGCTAATGTGTTTGCTTTTTAAGATAGCTCTTTCATCCTTTGATTCTTGCTTCCTAAGAATCATTACATGATTTCTTATCTTTCATCTCTCACCAGAACCTCTGACCATGATTTATTTGAAAAATATTTATTAAGTATCTGCTATGTGTGCTCTTAGGCTCTGTGCACTTTTAGGCTCTAAGAATATAGAGGTAAACAAGACAAAAAAGTGTTGGTCACATGGAGGCTACATTCTAGTGGAGTCTAGTGGTGCTCTTGATTGCTCATTTGTTTCTTTGTGATAGGTCATATCTATAAAGGCATGAGGGTCCAAAACGAAGGAGGTGAAAGAAACCCTCTTTATGCTCTTCTGATCACATCTGAAGGATTAAAAATCAACCCTACTTTTTTATTTTTTGAGACAGAGTCTCATTCTTGTTGCTCAGGCTAGACTGCCATGATATCAGCCTAGCTACAGCAACCTCGAACTCTTGGGTTCAAGTGATCCTCCTGCCTCAGCCTCCTAAGTATCTGGGACAGCAGGCACCTACCACAACATCCAGCTAATTTTTCTAGTTTTAGTAACGATGGAGTCTCACTGTTGCTCAGGCTGGTCTTGAACTCCTTAGCTCAGGCAATCTTCCCGCCTCTGCCTCCCAGAGTGCCAGGATTACAGACATGAGCCCCCACACCCAGCCTAATTGGCCCTACTTTTTAAAAAGAATATTGACAAATTAGATGCACCAGAGCAGTGATTTCAGCTTGGATAATTTTATGCCCCTCCCTAAGACCTTTACAATGTCTAGAGAGGATTTTGGTTGTCATATCTAGGGAATGAGGGAGCACTGACACCTACTGGGTGGCCCAGGGATGCTGCTTCACATCATACAGTGCACAGCTCCTTACAACAGAGAATCATCTGCCCCACAGTGTCGAAAGTCCCCTTTGACAAGCTCCTCCATAGTAGGGGATGAGAACTAAGTCCTAAGAGGAACCCTGGTCTCTAAGTGCCTTGGAGGAGATAAAGACTAGCATGTGAAAAAGAATCTGAATTTACTACCAGGGACTCAAAAAGGGTAGAACTTGAGGCCAATAACAAAGCGTGAACTGTGTGGGGAGGGAGTGAGCTCTCTGTCATTGGAATTAACCTAGCAGAGGTTGAACAGCCACTTTATAGTGATGTTAAGGGCATTCAAACCCTAGCATCTGGGGGGGCACAAGAACAATCAGGCAGGGTCTCATCCCAGTGACAGCCTATTTATTTATTTATTTTGAGACAGAGTCTCACTATGTCACCCTGGGCAGAGTGCTATGGTATCACAGCTCACAGCAACCTCAAACTCCTGGGCTTAAACGATTCTCTTGCCTCAGCCTCCCACGTAGCTGGGACTACAGGCACCCGCTATAATGCCCAGCTATGTTTTGGGGTTGTAGTTGTCATTGTTGTTTACCTGACCCAGGCCAGGTTCAAACCTACCACCCTTGGTGTATGTGGCTGGTGCCCTACCCACTGAGCTATGGACGCCAACAGCGACAGCTTTATTATAAGAGGGGTCCTAGCGCTAGGACTGGGAGAGGGCCAGGGTGTGGGAATAATCAGCGTGTGGCTCACTGCCTGTCTCTCCTCTCCCTCCAGGTCGGTCCTATCAGCATGCTGGCCATCGGGGTCCTCACAGTGCACTGTATGGCCATCCTGGTGAACTGTGCTCAGCATATCAGCCAGAGGTGAGAGTCCTGCTTCTCTCTCATCCCAGCGCTGGGACCCCTCCAAGGGTGGGTTCAGTTTCTCTTGACCATTGACTCAAATAACTTGGCCCCTTCCCCAGGCCACTGCCCTGCCACTCTAGATTCTATAGAAGTGATGGAGACCGTGAGAAAGATTCCCAACTGGAGATTCTAGGTGCAAATCCAGCTCTCTGCTAAGGAGCTGAATGACTTTGTCAAGTCCCTGCACTGACCCCTCAGCCCCAGATTCAAATAGGTTTATCTGGAGTATGTATCAGTCTCCTGACCTGGTGACATCAAAAGTCATTAAGAGATACAAGATAAAAGTACTCTGTAAACTATGGTATGCAAGTGTTAGATGCTTAGAGATATCCTTTTTCTTTCCTGTTAATCTCCCCACTCCCAAACTCCCCACCCAAAACATACCCCTTAGCATGAAATTCCTTCTCTGCTATTTACTCAAGAACTCTGTGAAAAACAAATTCTCAAAAACAATTTCAAAAGAGAAATATTTACATCTCCTTCTGTCCATTCAGCCACTTTCAGAAGTTGTGCAAAACAGAATTCCTGCAGGGTAGGATGCCTGTTAGCAAGAGAATTCTTTTTTTTTTTTTTTGAGACAGAGCCGCAAGCTGTCCCCCTGGGTAGAGTGCAGTGGCATCACAGCTCACAGCAACCTCCAACTCCTGGGCTCAAGCGAGTCTCCTGCCTCAGCCTCCCAAGTAGCTGGGACCACAGGCACCCACCACAACGCCTGGCTATTTTTTTTTTTTTTCGGTTGCAGCCATCATTGTTGTTTGGTGGGCCCGGGCTGGTTCGAACCCACCACCTTTGGTGTATGTGGCTGGCGCCTTAGCCACTTGAGCCACAGGCGTGGAGCCACAAGAGAATTCTTAAGATTACTCTTGGACTATTACTAACAAATTGCAGGATTAGGTATTTTCCTGTTATCTTTGCAATTTCTGCAAGACTGCCCCTTGCAACATTTGTTCCAGGAAAACTCCTTTCAGAAAAATTTAGGAAAAGAAAAAACAGACTTTGAAATAAAATTAAAAGTTTTCAATGGCTTCAGTCATTAACATAGTACACATATAATATTCAATATTTATGTATTTGAAACTTTAATTCAAAAACAGTTTTAGAAAGAAAAGACAAGTACAGCGAAAACAAAGAATGCTGAGATCCATATGCCCAGCAGCTTCCAAGGCATGCAAATTCAAATAGGTCCTTATCAAACAAGAGCATACACTGGGGGAAAGAATCCCTACTCAACAATGGTGCTGGGAGAACTGGATAAGCACATGCAAAAGACTGAAATTGGACCCGCACCTTTCACACTTATAAAAATTGATTCAAGATGGATAAAAGATTTAAATCTAAGGCATGAAACAATAAAAATCCTAGAAGAAAATGTGGGAAAAACTCTTGAAGATGTTGGCCTGGGGACAGATTTTATGAAAAAGACTTCCATGGCAATTGTAACAACAAAAATAAACAAATGGGACTTAAACCGAAAACCATCTTTCTGCACAGCTAAGGAGACAACAATGAAAGCAAAAAGACAACCTTCAGAATGGGAAAAGGTATCTGCATGTTACAAACCTGACAAAGGCTTGATAATTAGGATCAACGGAGAACTCAAATTAATCAACAAAAAAAGAACTGACAATGCAAAATTGGGGCTAGAGACATGAACAGAACCTGCTCTGAGGAAGACAGATGCATGGCTAACAAACATATGAAAAAATGTTCATTGTCCCTAATCATCAGAGAAATGCAAATTAAAGATATTAAGGAAAAGATATTAAGATTAGCCCACATCACAAAGTTCCAAAGCTGCAGTCGCTGGCATAGATGTGGAGAGAAGGGAACAATTTTGCATTGTCGGAGGGACTACAAAATAATCCAACATCTTTGGAAAGAAGTATGGAAAATCCTCAAAGAACTGAAATTAGACCTCCCATTGGACCCCACAATCCCACTCCTAGGCATCTACTCAGAAGAAAAAAAAATCATTTTATCATAAGGACATTTGCACTAGATTTTTTTTTCTTTATTTCAGGCTCCTTTATTCCATGAATATTTACAGAACATCAACTATAAGCAAAACAGGCTCGGCGCCTGTGGCTCAAGTGGCTAAGGCGCCAGCCACATACACCTAAGGTGTCGGGTTCAAATCCAGCCCGGGCCCGCCAAAAACAGCAATGACAACTACAACCAAAAAATAGCCAGGTGTTGTGGTGGGCTACTTGAGAGGCTAAGGCAAGAGAATTGCTTAAGCCCAGGAGTTGGAGGTTGCTGTGAGCTGTGATGC